CTGACAGGTTTGATACGAGGATGGTCCAATAATTATTTGAGTAATTCGATTTTGTGTTTTAAGAAAGGAAACCGCGTAGTGAGATCAAAAAGCGCTTGGATGCTGTCCACAATGACCCAGCTTCTTTGATGGCGACTGTCAAAATGTATTTAACGTATTTCAGCGTGGTCGCAGATCGGTTTTGATAAGCTACACACAGGTGCCCCGAACGAAGATACCACGGAGGATAACGAAAGAAAGGGTAGCGAGGGCGAGAGAGATAGATACCTCAAAAAACCGTATAGGTCTTATACTGCCAGAAATATTAAACATAAGAAAGCTATAGACGCGATGAGTGCCGAATTTGCTTACTCCAGTCAACAAGCCCAACTGTGAAATCACTAACAAGCAGTGTGTGACGCTGTTTATGCGCAATTCGAATTACTTTCTGCATCGTTTCGTGACCGTCCACGAATCAGATAATCAAGGAACAGTCGAAACAGTTGACTTAAACTTGCGAAAAACAAAGAATCTCCTATCATCCAGAAAAATTATGGTCACCGTTTCCTGTGACGGGTAAAAGAAGTTAAAAAATTGCTGAGTCAATTTTATAAAGAGTTATTGAACCACCCTCGTACTGACTTACGCTTGCTACATATATGTACTTCATGTTAGATATTTTCTAGAATACGTGCATAGCATACATACACATACACCTTCGTCCAATTGCCAATACTTCCCGACTCAACATTTTCCTAAATATTTTTGCAAATATGTATTTCAATTAAAAACTCTTTTTTTAAGTTTTACAACTTTCGAGGTATTTAACGTTTGGGTTTTTTTCTAACGTATCCATTTTTTACTTGTTTCATTTGTAGAACTTATCAGCTTTATATAAGTTAAGTAAATACATAGGAGTATACCGAAATGGTAATTGTTCACTTAAAAGCTGATCAAAACCGAATTTAATTCTTAGCTAAGGTGCCTACTCAAAGTGTTTGATCTTTTCTGTACGAGCTTTGCAAAATTATATCTGAATCTCTTGATCATATAGATTTAATATCAAAAACAAAATTATCAAAAACCTTCTTGAATATAAGCTATATTAGTACTAATAGCGAGGATTATAGTTGAACAAGACCTCCATCTTCGAAAAATATAAATACGGTTCTTTATTGCGCCCGCTCTTCGGAAGTTGATTCAAAACTCTTTCTAGGATAAAATAATTAGAGAGAAATAAACTGACTTTTTGCTAGATATTTTAGGAACATTGAATCTGTCAAAAGGCTAATAAGAATATTACGTAAATTTATCATATTTTTAAAGAACATTTTATAACCAAAAGACAATTAATAGCTTATTTAAATTTGTTTATAAATATTTTAATGTGGTATTTTATTAAAATAACACGTGCCATAAATAAAATGGACACTAAGTAATAATTAAAAGCATATCATAAATTATTATATATTATTTATTAACCCTTTTAGTGCCGGGCGAAATAGAGGTGCCTATGGGAAAAAAACCGGCCGAATTTCACAGTTTTACAAGGGTTCGGAAAAATGCTTGTAAAAACCAAACGAGAAACAATATTTACATGATTAAAAAAGCTGCGTATTGTGGATGACATTAGTTTTTTAGAATTCATTTGAAAATTATAAAAAAATCAAAGGTATAAAAGTTTGTAAATGAAATGAATTCGAGATCTCTTGTAGAAACGTCGTCAACAAAGAGTTCAAACAAAAAATATTTTTTTTTAAATTATCTTCTGATGAAATTAGATCATTTATAACATTTATAACCGCTATAAGGCGCGAGCCGATATATCGGCTCTGGCACTTCTCGCCAGTGCAACAAGAGCCTCCGGCACTCAAAGGGTTAAGAACCACCAGAATAATCACCGGCAATATTTTACTTTTACTTCTAATTTGAATCTACAACGCTTAAATATTTATGAATCGCTTTTAAGGTTTTAAGGGTATTACTAAACGAGGTAAAGCTATTGATCATAGCTTGTTTAGCTACATACAAGGTGGCTCACGAATAGTGCTACAAAAACAAACCGTAATACCTTTTAAACGACTTACTTTTTTTTATTTGGCAGGTTAATAATTAAGTGGAAAATTAATGCTTGGGATACTGAAAAGAAGGTTTGGATAGTGTAGCGGTACAAAGCTTTGCAGTCCGTCATATCCGTCCAAAGGGAATTCAGACGGGATTTTGGCGGCACTCGCCCGAGTAGATGGATCAACAAGAGTTTCGACTTGCAACTTATCGACGCAACTTAGAGTTAGCAGACGGTGACTACAAGTGAATAATTCATGATGACTTAAACCTGTTTCCGTACAAAGTTCAAATAACAAAAAGGTTAAACCCTCTAGACTTGCTTATTCGCCTGGAATTTTGTCAAAAAATTATTGAAATGACCGAAGAAGCCAATTACTTGATAAATTGTGTGTTGTTTGTGTCTGATGAGGCTCATTCTGATCTAAACGGAATTGTAAACAAGCAAAATTGTCATATATGGAGTGAGTTCAATACAGAAATAAGCGGAATTGGGACGGAACCTCACCCAGAACGAGTCACGCTGTGGTGCGCAGTCACTTGTGGTGTATTGTCGGGCCATACTTCCTCGAAAAGAGCGGTGTAACAGTAAGAGTCAATAGCCACCGTTATTTAAAAATGTTGAATGAGCGACCAAGACGCATCGCTTTCAATAGAGTTTGGTATCTTGGTTTGCGGACTAACAAAAGCCAACTCGTGCAAGAATTGAAGTCGACCGACCATCAAGCGCACGTTCGGTGATTGGGTCCAAAACGAGATGGGCACCGATACCGATTTTCACAAGAAACTCTTATTCATCAACGAAGCTCCCGTTTGGTTGAATTGGTATGTTAATGACCAAATTGTCGCATTGGGAGCGATAATAATCCACAAGCGATTGTTGAGACACATTACATCCTCAAAAAGTTACTGTTTGGTGTGATCTGTAGGGAATCATTGGTCCATATTTCTTCAAAATGAGGCCGGCCATAATGTTATAGTCAATGGTGGTGAGCGCATTATCTCGCGTCCATGAGCATGGCCTCCAAGATCAGGCGATTTAATACCACTTGACTATTTTTTGTAGGGAATAAATTTTAAATCGCTTGTTTATGATCGACGCCTTGGAAGAGAATATTCGGTTCGTAATTACTGACATACCCCCTAATTGCTGCAAAAAGTGGTCGAAAAGTGATCGGCCACTCTTCTGGAATTTATTCGAGCCAGCCGCGTCGATTACTTGCACGAAATAATTTTTAAAGCATAATGGCAAACCCTTATCTTTATAATAGAGCTAAAATCTTGGCCACAACATTGGGTTATGTTATATGCGTTTCATCTCTTCTTGGAAACCACATGTATGGTTACATAAGATACTACAAAAAAATAATTTACATTATTTTTGAATTATTTTAATAAAATTCCAAAAGTAAATTAAATCAGTTCAAACATTCTTCTAACATGTATGGTATATAGCAATTTCCGACTTCGCAGTTGAGTTGAGTAGGTGGACTTAATCATAGTGTATTTTAGCGTTAAATGTAAATGAAATATAATATATCTAGCCTTGGTCTAACTTGCGCATCTCTAATATAAATATTTCCGCCCTGATGATGCCTAAGATGAAAAGTTAATTCCTCTATGCAACATATTACGTGAGTATTAATAGTCAACTAAAAAACAAAATCTGACCGGTTGATATTTGATATATATAAATTGCATATGCATATATTAGGTCAAGTAAAAAGTTCGTACGGTTTTTATCTAAGAGATGGCGTTATTGTCCATAGTACTAGTGTTACGTGTCGCATCATGTCATACTATACGGCGCTGAACGTGTTTATTCGCGCTCGTCAAAGATGGACACCAACAAAGAGAAAATTCGCTATATTTTACAATTTTTCTTCGATCAAGGCGAAAAAGCAGCCAAAGCGACTGAAAAAATTAATTTAGTTTATGGGCCCGATACTGTAAACAAACGTGTAGCACAAAAGTGGTTTGCTAGGTTCCGTTCCGGTAATTTCGATGTTAAAGATGCACCACGTGTCGGGAGGCCTGTCGTCGAAAATTACGATAAAATCATGGAAATAGTGGGGGAACAGACCGTCACGTGAGCACTTATTTAATTGCTGAGGAACTAAAGATAAGCCAGAAAACCGGTTGGAACCATTTGCATAACCTTGGATTCAAAAAGAAGCTCGATGTTTGGGTGCCACGCGAACTAACGCAAAAAAAACATGATGGACCGAATTTCCATCTGCGAATCGCTGCTGAATTGCAACAAAATCGACTCGTTTCTGAAGCGGATTGTGACTGGCGATGAAAAATGGGTCACTTACGATAACATCAAGCGCAAACGGTTGTGGTCAAAGCTCGGGGAAGCGGCCCAGACGGTGGCAAAGACCGGATTGACGGCCAGGAAGGTTTTACTGTGTATTTGGGGGGATTGGCAAGAAATCATCTACTACGAGCTGCTCCCCTATGGCCAAACGCTTAATTTGGCCCTGTACTGTCAACAACTGGACCGCTTGAAGGCAGCACTCATCCAGAAGAGGCCATCTTTAATCAACAGAGGTCGAATTGCGTTCTATCAGGATAACGCCAGGCCACACACATATTTGCGGCGCGCAAGAAGCTCCGGGAGCTCGGATGGGAGTTCCTAATGCACCTACCTCCGGACCTGACACCAAGTGATTACCATCTTTTCCTGTCTATGGCGAACGCGCATAATGGTAAAAAGTTGGCCTCAAGGGAGGCCTGTGAAAATTTTTTTGCATTTACGAAAAGTATACTGGAGAATTTTTAACAATATCAGCATATTTTTGAAAACAACGAGTTGTGTGAGCTTTCAGCACAGAGTTTGTTACATATTCAGTTATGCAATAATCTGGGTAACCACAGTAATTTTACAGTGTAAAGTCATGGCGAAATCTAATGAGTCATATCAACGCACAGTTAGAAAACTTATTGAAGCGTAATTATTCTGATATTTCGGCTTTATTACAAAGTTAACGCTTTTGCATTTGCTTCATTTTCGCACATTTTTATCGTAATTTTTATGAACTCCAATACATGTTCTATACATATTCATCAAAAAGTATATTTACAACTTTTACGAAACAAATTATTGCAGCTACTTGCTAGGCAAAAACAAACATAAATTCTTTGACCACAAATTATACTTGTATTATGGGAATATTCTCCTACGAATTTTATTTAGCGTTCCGCCTGTTGAGAGGGCGAGTCTTGTCTCGCATTTTGTCGTCGACGTCGACGTGGCAAAATCTTGCGCATTGTCCGATCCACATCTCCGATCAGCTGTTCGATGACATCCTCCAAAGCTGCAACACGTGCTGTTAAACTATATAATGAATAGGAGTGTAAGTAAAATATATAGACAAATATATTCTATGTGAAGAGAAGAAGTATGCAATCGCAACCCCTAAAATAAAAAATTTCTACAAGTAGGGCCAAAAACTAGAACATTATTGATTTATAAACTATATCCTATGTACATATTCACACAGCATTTTTGTGAAACTCTAGCGACTATCAGCTTATATCAAGACGCGATATTACTTCAAATTAAATTTTAAAGACTTTGCTAAATACTATATTTCAAAAAAGCAGGAGACTAAAGGAGTCTCTGGTATAACTTAATAACCAATTATTCTGATGCATATATCTCACTATAGTGTGAAAATTCCCTAAGGAACGTGATCCCAAAACTTAGCAAAAATTCGTATCGTATCTCAGTCATTCCTGGTTTCTTTATGTCAGTTTTTCTTACAACATTAAAATTTGGTTTCATAAATGGATTTGACGAATTCACCTCCCTCTCTACAGTCCCCTGACGTAAGGTTTCCTTATATTACTTTATAATCTCAGTCAGTATAAGGGACGTCTACAAAAGATTTCAAATGTGTTCGAATTTCGATAGTACCTTCCCATTTAAAAAAAATTTACCGAACTTTTAACAACTGATTATATTAATGGGTCATATGTGAATACCACACTATTAGGTAATGTTTTATCATCAATAAATTCAATGTATAGCTTACCGACTAATAGCCGCAGGATCTGCACTTTGGTTCTGCGTTTGTTGTCGTCCGACGGGTTCAAAATAACTGCGCGGAATATAAGATAATTGTCATTCGGAGATTATTCAATGTTCGCATACTCATATCACACAATACACTTACTCTACTACATTATCCTTGCCCACAGAACGTTTCGTTTGATTACTCTGTGGACTTGCATCGCGTGATGGAGTCCCCTCCCTTGATGGGCCAAGCTCTTCATCTTTTGACGCACCACAATGACACCACTTCGGGCAGTATTTATTTAGTAATTTACGGAGATAAGTTGACAAATAATTGCGGCCGCCTTTAATATCACTTTTCACGCTACTATATGTGTCATTAATAATAGCCAGGAACATATTCTGAAAATCAGTGACGGTATCGGCATAGATTTCATATAAATTTGATTATAGGACTGTTAATGAATACCAGTAATATGAAAAACACCAACACTATATATGTTAAAAAGTATATTGGCCCCAATACACGATTCGCCGCTTCTATACCGTCGTAGTCGAAATCACCCAATATCATACGGATCATCGTCAACAAGGACTCTTTGAAGTTGCGAAAATCATGGTGAACATTACCGAAGAGTAATAGACCCATCTGAGCGTAAGCCAAAAAGACAATACCGAACATAACGCTAAAGCCCAAAAGGTCACGAAAACACTGAAAAATTGGCGGAAGTGATTTAATATTTTCTTAACATTCATTAGCACTGAGACTTACTGTGCTCACTGTTGCATTGAACTGACGCATTGTTTTATTGAAGCTAATGAATTTCAATATTTTCATACACACAAGAAATGCACAAATGGCGAAGATAGCACGGTATGTCAAGTTCCAGAAGCACAGCTTGTCCAACTGTAGGTAATCATTTGGGCTTTTCTCAAAACGTTTGTATAGCCCGCCTACGTAAAACGGATGCCAAATGTTGTACATGAGTGTGCAGTATGCTAACTGTAAAAAAAGTGAGTTCGTTTATGAAAAAATATTGGTATATAAGTTTCCACTTACAGCAATTATAAGAAAATCCACAAAATTCCACAGTATGCGCACATAATTGGTGAAACCGATGCGTATAACTTCCAAAATCTCAACTGTGGTGTAATACAAAACGAAAAGATAAAATATAACGCCTATTACCAATATCGTTATGCCGTCTCTCCAAAAAACTGAGGCCAATTTCACCGACTCTATGCTAAAAGTGGTGACCACACCACCGGTTGACGGCAATTCCCCAATAAATCTACAAGGAATACAACAAAAGTTATAGATTGTATAATCTACCCAACTAACCTACGAAACCGACTCACTTAATATTATTTACCAAATCTTTATTCGCATTGTAGAGGGTGAATTCCACTAGTATTAAACGAGAAGCGCGATCCAGCCACTTTCGTGACTTCAAATCAGACAAAATTTTATTATTCTCGTTGAAGTTGTAAGACAAGCTTCTCACAAAACCACCACCGCGATAGGTTGTGATTTGACCCCAAATTGAATCAGCGCCTAATGCGCTGAGAGTACTGTATTTGGTACTATAAAATATATTATCGATTATGTGACAAATATTAATATTTTCACTTTTACCCCTTATATATGTCGGAAGTGTCTTCATCACTACTGGAATAGTCTGCGTAGCACTTGGAGAAATACCTTCCGAAGACATTGTGAACATCACAACTATTCTCTTTCACACGTATCTGCCGCAGTCGCGGTGGTCCCAATACGAGATTTTGTTCTTGAAATATGAGCTTGTCTTCAGCGGAACGGCGTCTGCGATTTTCACTTCCTTCGTGGTCATCTTCAATTGCCCCTTCTCTATCATCTATACCATGGAGATCCATGACGAATTTAGTTTCCAGAAATGCCCACATGTCTGCTGTAGTGGCTAAGTCAGCAAACCTCACGGAAGCTTCATGTGAGGACGTATTGACTTCACGTGATAAGAATAGATTTTCGATATCTTTGGTGAAGAAGTACATAGACATGTTGCGTGAAGAAGAGGCCACTGTTGGAAAATATAATAAATATCATCCGAGTTCCTAACGTAACCCTGGCAATGCTCACCCAAAAGCGTCACCACAAGAAAGCAGATGTAGATACAGAACTCGATCAGCGCCGAACGTGTGGCGTCCTCATTTTCATAAGATATGCGATGTGACTTCTTGGTGGCTTTTGAAAACCGCTCTTTCCTAGAAATTGCTTCATCCTTTTCCATTTTTATGAAATAGAATTTCAAATAAACTTAACGTGATTTTATTTAGAAAAACCAATATGTTATTTTCTATTTTCTTTTCCACTTGACAGAAAAAAAATATTATATAATATTTCACTCAAAGCGAATTCAAACAGCAGATGGGTTGTCTTTTTTAAAGAAATGTGTATTGTATTTCAATATTTCTTTCGATTCAAAACTAAATTTATTAAACAACAACAAACCGGTCCATTCTAATATACACTGGATACATGAATTTGTTTCTATCCGGTTAACTATATTGTGGATATTTTGAACAAAAATTTAATTGAATCTGGGGAACATGCTTAAAATCCACTTTTGTTGTTATATTTTTGCAAGTTGTTTGTATAATAGTTTTGTTCGATTTACGATTGTTTGTAAGATCTTAAAACCCACATCTGTCGTTGAAACCGATAACGGAATGTAACAACTACCGTAGCTTGATGAATTTAATACCAGCTTTTATTAATGCTGACGGTTAGTATTGCAAATGGGGTTATCGTCGCCATTGGCTAATTGGTCGCGTTAAGCTCCGAACTGCTATCCCATCCGCCGTATTCTTTAAAATCGGCTTTTGCGAAATTATCACCGTAACGAACGACTACTTTGTCCACATTTTTTTATACTCTTTGCGTACAGCATTTTATTAATATTGTGAGAATCTTTCACTTACCACAATGTGATATGATAGTAATAATTTATCAAAACGTCTCATACCTTCCCGAACACGTTATTAACCTTTATACAGTAACCTAGGTGGAGCTTTAACGAACTTTAATTAAAACTTTAAATTAAAATTAATTTATCAATTAGTAAAGGTCTGAAATTTTATAAAATTATTATAAAACAAGTAAGGAAGGGCTAAGTTCGGATGTAACCGAACATTTTATACTCTCGCAAAGTCAAATGGTATACTCGTTTGAGATTTCTTTGTGGATTGACTGATATTTTCGGTAGAAGGTCAACTATAGGCACTGGGGTCCACATATTTAGTACTTAGGGGTTTAAACAGTTTTGGTTCGATTTAGACAATTTTTGGCCGCAAGGTGGTTTACTTTAATTGCATTATTCACGCAAAGTTTTACCCCGATATAATCATTGTTACCTGATTTGCATAGTGGAAAGGGAAAGAATCAGATGGAATTGAAAATGGTGTTACATGGGAAGTAGGCGTGGTTGTAGTCCGATTTCGCCCATTAACATAGAAATATGAGAAGAATGCTACGTACCGAATTTGGTTGAAATCGGTTAAGCAGATCTCAAGATATGGGTTTTCACCTAAACGTGGGCTGTGCCACGCCCACTGTCTAATTTTGAACGCGGTTCCTATAAATTTAATGTCTCTGGCGTGTTTAGTGCTGGATTTATCGCGCTTTTAGTAGTTTTTAACAGTACCGTTATATAGGGAGTGGGCGGAGTTGCCACCCGATTTCAACTATTTTCACACCGTCAATAGAAGTGCTAAAAACATTTGCTTCTAGTGAATTTTGTTATTATAGCATTAGCGGTTTAGGAGATATGCACATTAAACCTATTAGAGGCGGGACCACGCCCAATTTTTAAAAAATTTTAACTGCAGATGCCCTTCCCTAATGTGATCCTGTGTACCAAATAACAGTCTTGTATCTTATTGCGGAGCTTAGTTATGGCAAGTTATTTGTTTTTGATTAATGGCGTTTTGTGGGCGTGGCAGTGGTCCGATTACGCCCATCTGCAATACCAACCGTCTCACGGTACCAAGAAACATGTCTATCAAGTTTCATAAAGATATCTCAATTTTTACTCAAGTTAGAGCTTGCACGGACAGACGGACGGACGGACAGACAGTCACCCGGATTTCAACTCGTCTCTTCATCCTGATCATTTATATATATATAACCCTATATCTAACTCGATTAGTTTTAGGTGATACAAACAACCGTTAGGTGAACAAAACTATTATACTCTGTAGCAACAGGTTGCGAGAGTATAAAAAAAATACTTTAGTAATCCATTTGCATATCTCCAGGCTCTCGGACTTTTTAGTCAATTACCAATTCATGTCATGTAAAGTAGGTGCAAAACGTGGTTCTAAAACTGACCAGTCGTTATGCTGGAACTGATCGTACAATAGTGGCTGATAACTTTTTTCACTATTAGACGTACTTTGTAATATGCTAATGTCATCTGGATTAGAATATGTAGGTATGGTAAATAAAAACACTCATAACAGTAGCGCTTGCTCCCAATCGCAAACATGCAGTCAAAAGTACTCTAAGCTAAGTAAAAATAATATTCAAACCCATTTAAATATGAGAATCAAGAATCTCCTTGATTTTCACCAAACAGGTACTGAACAGGCGTTGGAATATTCTTTTTGTCTAAAATATATGTACCCTTCTATTGCAATAGGAAACTTTATGGTCATAGCGATATTCAGAACCAGTACAAAACAAATCTAAATAATATAACATCCTATAGTTGAATTTCAATAGTCACGTCCAGGTGAGAATACCCTCTAGACGTGAATAAAGTCTATACCTATGGGTTCAAAATGGACTGCGCAGTAGCGACGGGGGTATACTCCGAGGATCTTTATATATCTCTCTCTATCCGTCTACCAAATTCAGCTACTATCTTCCAAGCGGAAGTACTAGACATAGAGAAGGGCTGTGTTATTCTACTGAATAACTACGAGAGGATACAAAAAGCTGCCATGTACACAGCTAGATAGCCAGGCGGCATTGCTAGCTTTGCCCTTGCCAAAGATTAATTACATCGTAGTCGACAAATGTCTTCTTCCCACTAGGAACAATCAAGAAAGAGCTCATTACACAATTTGAATAAGTTGCTCAGAATAAATGGAAATATACTTGTATAACCCCATGAAAAATAGCGAAGCAGATATGGCCAAAATAAGACAAGACAAGAACTAAGGTCTGATTAAATAAGTTCGGGAAAAGTATATATAGGCTTACAGCTACCATAATGGGGCATTGGCCAATCGATGAACATGCTGTAAAAATGGGAATGTTCTATATCATTATTTGTCCTAGCTGCAAACTTGAAGGGAGTTGGGAAACTGTTCTATACTTCCTCTGTGAGTGCGCAGTTCTATTATAAACCCGAGATAACTAATTTCATTGAGGGTACCAAACACACACAGTTTTGAACACAGTGATGAAACGAGATAGCAAGATTTAATGGAATTGCAAATAGAAAAATGGCGCATCAAGCGCTATTTGAGCCTGAAGCGACTGCATACAAACACCCATAGGTACATAGGGATCCATGTTTCTATTATACGTGAATGTGTCAGATATCTTTAAAAATTAGATGTGCAATTACCCGTATATACCAAATGCAATTCATTTGCATATTATCGATTAGGAAAATATGAGTACCAACTAAAGTTAGGGAGAGTATTAATTATATGCACTTCGAACTTACGAAAATTTTTTATTACGTTTTCTCAAAGTATCCTTGTGAGATTAATTCTTCCAAATTTCATAAAGATCTAAGCACAAAAGCCAAAGTTACAGCGGTCAAAAGTGCCATCCTCTCATATGCTCCCAATTACGTGCCAAAACTTCAAACATGATTACCTCAAAATGAGATTTTTTAAGTCCCTATCGATCTATTTTTTGCAAACTGTTTAAAAACTGCAATATACCATGAACAAAGAAATTTTCATTTGAAACGTAACCGTAAGAGACCTTCAAAAATCGAACTTTTCAGTGAAATCATCACTATTGTATAAAAATGTTTATTGCCCCAAATTCTTCGTACATGTACGGCATTATGATATCAACTAAATAAAACTGTTGTTTTATTTAATTGCAGATGATCCATTGTCTATTTATCACGCTCACCGCAAAGCGTGTAATAAAAAAGTATATCAACTCAACAGCTGTAGTGCCAACAACCGGGCTCATTTTTCATTCAGAAATTAAATTTAACAACTTTAGACATTTATATGTAGATGTGTACGCAGCGTTTCAATATTAAACACAAAATCCCGACTTTGCAAAATTTTTCAAAACAACAATTTTCTCAGAGAAGAATCCTTTCAAATAGAATATCTTATACCCTTTGTAAGAATACCATCCGTTGGTACCAAAATGAGAAAATAAATCAGTAATAAATTACATTTGTCTAAGTAAATTTTTATTTCTTATATAGCTTTATTTTAGTTATCTTACATAGAAATTTATAAATTTCACCAAAAAAGTATAGATATAATTCATAATTGTCTTTTAAATGAAGCAAAATCCTAACACTAAAGTGTCTACGGTAAATCGTCCAGGAAATAGCTAGCCGGCACATAACTCAAAATTTTCTTATAACGATTCAGTATAATCGTATTGATTGTCTGTGCAAAAGCGGGACGCATGATTTCAAAAATCTCGCGCCAGTTATTATTGAAAAGTTCGTGTGCACTCTCTTCGAGCTCCTTGTTGCCGTGGAAAAGATTCGTAAAATGTATTTTGAAATTGCCCAGCTTATCAATACGTGACGAAGCCGAAATTAAGTCGAAGAAATACTGACCGTTTATTTGTTTGAGATTCGCCTTGCATGATATGCGATATTCGAGATTTTCTAAAATCAAAAATTAAAAAAAGTAAGCTGCAAAGTTTTTAAAATTTATAGTAAAATTCAACAGCTACATACCAACAGTGGATGACATCTTGCCAACGCTATCCAAATTCAAAATCAATATGCGTCCATTGACCTGATAATCACCTTCGACATGCACCGAAGGCGTTTTCAATTTGAACTCAATTGTGTAGTCTTTATCGTTGACGCTTTAGCGGTGCAAAAAAATGCAAGCGTGTGTGTTAAATAAAATTAATTTGCTTGCAGTCTATGTATAGTTAGTCAACTTACGACGTCTTCAGAACCCGCGTGCCGCTCATGCCATGCGCGACCACATTCGTCAGTTCGGCTTTTATATTGGCCAAGTTTTCGGTCTGCTGTGATAGGCGCACACGCTTTATATGGAACGGCTCGATGGGACTAAGTCCTTTCAAGCCAGGCACGCCTAAAAAGTAATTACAAACAGGAGATATGAAATCGTTGAAATAAACACCATTATCCGCCAACCACTTACCATGACGCCACTCGGTGAAAAAGTTTTCGAAAACATTCGCCAGACATTTGCCATTGTCTGGATCGTGCAGATGGCAAGGCTGCAGGAATGACGCTGCAAAATGATATCAAAGTTTCTGGATAAGCAAAATTCAGCACGTTCAAGTATTCTACATAAGTTTTTGTTTAATCAACAACAACAATTTATTTACGTTTCTCTCTCAAGTATTCATGGCCGCTGACAAGTGCTGCGAGTTGACTGCAACCGATTACAGCAAAAACGTTGAAGGCAAAGCGTGCGTTAAAAGTAAATCTGTTAAGCTGCTGCATAACTGCACTGCAAAGGCGAACGTTTATTTACCAACTGAGCATCGAAACATACAAATCATGCATTAAATTGTAAAGTATTATCTTTTGCGATCCGAAAATTATTGTTTTGAATACTAACGAAGTCGCGGAACAACTACAAATAGCGAACACACTTAATAAATTAATTAATACCAAAAGCAAGGAAATAGCCCAAAATCGAATCGCACACACGAGCATACCAACTATAATAAATTTGTATTTCTTTTCTTTTTTGCGGCTTGTGAAGAAACTAGTGTGAAACATATGACAAACGTTGTTACGCAAGCGTAGTAGTATCGCTTATGGTCGAAAAAAGCTAATTATTTCCACTTTAAATAAAAATGTATTAATTTTATAAAAAACTTGTTCTTTATTTATTTGAGACTTGAGTCAAACTGGAGTTTTCTGATGGTTTACCAGGCAGACTGAAAAGTTTGTATCATTTCTTGTATAGTAAACAACCAGAATATATGTACATATGTATGTATATGTACTATATATCTACTTGGAAGAGAATTATGTAGTTTTTTTTTTAAATAAAATATAATGTAATCGTTAACCAAGTCATTCTTATGGCGTCGATTAGTTATTCTTTGGTGGTATATTGCTTACCATACTCGTGCACCTTACTAATCAACCATCCCCAGTCGTTGTCTAAAATATTTAAATCAGGAAAGTATGATGGCCACTCCAGAATATCGACATTTTGGCTCTATTTCCAAGTTTTTACAGACTGATCGGTTGAGCTAGCATTGTCGTGTTGAAAATGCCAATCCAGATATCTGAATACATTTTTAAACAAGAAACAACGTTGCACCGAAGCTTTAATATAACCTTTCACAAATACAAAAGACTGCTTCCAAGAACTTTGATCGGACATTTTCCTATATGTTATAGTGAATCGATCTGAACAATTTTTTCAGAGATTACATCATTGCCTTACGCAATAACCCATGCCAATTTTTTTTTAAATATCTCCTCAAATGAAAAAAAGTTCATACTAGCACTTGATTCCGATCGTCCAGTTTGTGTGGCGGCTATAGGCTATAGTTGTCCGATATCGGCCGTTCAGACAAATGATCAGCTCTTGGTGATAGGCGAGGTGAAAAATTTCAGAAGGATATCTCAAAAACTGAGGGACTATTTCGCATATATACGACTCAGCTCCTCACACTGACCCTTTTTATACTTTGGAGGGTCTCTGACGTTTAGGGTATAAAAACAGAAACGAGGTTTCTGGAACGCAGTTATATTTATTTGCGTTCATTTTTATACTCTCGCAACATGTTACTACAGAGTATAATAGTTTTTTTTTAACTTAACGGTTGCTTGTATCACCTAAAACTAGTCGAGATAGATATAGGGTTATATATCACATATATATAAATGATCACGATGACGAGACGAGTTGAAATCCGAGTGACTATCTGTCCGTCCGTCTGTAACCGTGCAAGCGATAACTTGAGTAAACATTTAGATATCTTGATAAAACTTAATACACAAATTCCCTGCCGCCCAAGGATGGTTGGTATTGTGAAAGGGTGGAGCCGGACCATTACCACGCCCACAAAACTATATTAAACGAAAACGTTTAAAATGCCATAACAAAGCCGCAAATTAGGATACAAAACTGTAATTTGGTACAAGAGATCGCAGCAGCCGGGGGCATCTGTGGGCTAAAATGTTTTTAAAAGTGAGCCTAGTTTCGCCCACTAAATGGTTTAATGTACATATCTTCCAAACCGCTTAAGATATTCAACCTAACTTGTTTAGAAAAAGGGATTTTATCACCTCTTCAACCACGCCACTCCACATTAAACGTTTATGTTGAAAACTACTAAAAGTACTATAACTTACGGAACAAATGAGCCAACAGCATTGAATTTTACTACCAGGATGGTAAAGAAAGGTTTTAAAGGATCTTGTGGGGAAAATTGGACAAGGGGCGTGGCGCCGCTCACCTTTAGCTGTAATCCTATACCTCAGGAACTCCCCAACCGATTTACAACAAATTTGTCTTATGTGTAACATTACCCAAACATTTCTATCAGACATTGCAAAAATGTGCAAAATCGGATGGCAACCACGCCCAATTCCCATATAACAAACTTTTAAATTCCATCTGAATCTTTCCCTTTACAATATATAAATCAAACTCAATAAAGTTCTCGAAATAAAACTTTGCACAAATAGTGCCCTCAATGTATTTCATGTTACGTCCAAAAGTTGTCGAAATCGCACTATAACTTGTGCCAAAAATGGGTAAAAGCAGGGCAACACTTCCCTTAACCCCATATACCTAACATAAATATATAACGAATCTCCGGTTCACTTTATACGCATCTATGGGTCAATACTTGTATGTAAGAAAGGCGCAAGAATGTCAACAATGTGCTCTCTAAATATATCAAGCGAAAGTGTAAACATGTAAAATATAGCTACAATCAACCGATTCACCACCTCAAATTCATTGTACAATATGTTAAAATAAGTTTTTCATTTCTGTAAACGGATATCATTCACCTTTCAATCGAACAACAAAGTGCTGACAGCAATACTGGTACCAAATCAAAGATATTAAAGAGTTCTTTGATTTACATACAAAAATTATTTCAATAAAATTTGGACATATTCGT